TGTTTGGTGGTGGGTGGAGGGTGTGGGGGGGGGGGGGGGCAGGGAGAAAGATAAGTCCTGGGCAAGTCGAGTGAAGAGCCTCAGCAACACTCCTATGTGGTATGCTCATTCTTTTTGTCACCTTTGGCTTTAGTTGCATTAAAGAAGCTTTTAAGGAGCTGGGAGGAATGGGAACTACTTCGAGTAGAAACACCTAAGACACAAAAGAGTTAAAGTGAAAAAGGGAAATGCAAGTAGGACATCAGTGAAAAATATCCTTTATTTGAGGTGTGTTAGCTGGTTGTTGGGGGCACTTATTTGCCATGTAAAAAGTTAGAAGTGAAGACTGCTGACTTGTGAAAATGAAGAAGAAACTGGTTAGAGGTGAGAGTGAGGGCAGCGCGCAAGTAAAACAGATAGGTCCATAAACTGGTACTAATGGAAGATGCATTCTTTTGTTGAAGACATTTCTCCATTCAAAGTAGGAAGTTGAGAAGGATGTGGGGCTAGAGAGAATTGTAATGACAAAAGGTTTTACATAAATCAGAAGGTAGAAGTCTTCTCCTTCACCCCTCTGTCCTGTTTGCCTGAATTTCCCTGTGCAAAGAGCATGTTTGGAGGACACAGTTACTCTTTGAGACTGTTGCGTGAAGAAAGTAAGATTTATTGCATAAAGAACGTGAGATTTTGGGGTGGTTGTTTCATTTATGGAAAAAGTTCTGCTTTTGATATTTGATACGTGATTGACCTATTTGTGATTCTGTTATCAGTAAATGAGACTTTTCAGACTGTATGAAGTTAATTTTCCTCCAAACAGTTAACCTACTCTAAAGTCAAAATCCCTTTTGTTGCTTACAGATTGAGATATGGCTATGTAAGTTTACAACAGCAGAATGGTAGATTTGCTTTCTGATTAACTAAAGCAGTAACAAGACAGTGGATTTTTTTTATGTAGATCAGAATTTGGACATTCTGTTGTAGTTGACTTTCTGCTGTTACACTGTTGTTAAAAACATCCGTTGCCGCTTGCTGTTGGAACAGGCACACTATTATTATCGCCACTTTTCTAAATATGTGGCATGAGAAAAAGAACTGTGGGAATGTGTGCCTAGGAACAAGTAGGCTAAATCCAGCCTTTTCTTTTTTTAGCCCGACTTTTAAGGAAAAAGAGTAGCTGTTTGGGAAGAAAATACGTCATTGTACGCAGGTGATTGGTAGCTACTACTGCTAAGTTTAAGTAACGTCCTATGTTTTCCTCACAAGCACGTTAGGTTAATTTGAAAAGGCAGTTGTAAATTAATTCTGTATGCAGTAATGTGTTGCAAGATTAAATAGTTACATAAATGCAAAAATGAACAGTCCTAACCCTGTCTAGCAAGCGGATAAAAATCTTTTTTTCTTCTGCCAGCAATAAACCGTTTGTTAGATGTTCTTTTTAGTGCCATTTGTTCCTGAAATTGCCAGCACCCATGTAAGCCAGATCAGTGCAGAAGCTGCTCTGCTGCTTAGACATGTTGCACTAATTTTAACATTTCTAACTTGGGCAAGCTTGGTCATGACCAAAATTACAAAAAGGATTGTGTCAGTCTGTAACTCAATAAATGTTTCCATGTGATGTATAGAACTAGATATGTGACCGTGACAGACCCTATTTACAGACGTTTGGGTGATTGTATCTGTGGGAGGGTATATGTCTTCTGTAGCAAGATCTAAATTATAAGTGAGGTGAATGGAGCTCAGGTGCTGTAAATCAGCACAGCTCCCTTCAGATTATGGCCATGTATGTTGGGAAGCATGGGAGAGCCAGAAAGGAGCCTCTAAATTCAGGTGGGAGCATTGCTGCTGTTACATGAACAACAGATTTCTGTAAAACCTTATCCTGGAGAGAGGTTTAGACTGACTTCCTTGTTGCATTAGGCACATGACCAGAGGACAACGGAGATAGCTATCGGCACCTTTGTCCATGACGTAATCGTTCTGTTTTAGTGGAAGGATCTGATCCACTATGGCTAGAGATAAAAAAATAGATTAGGGAATTTGATGCTACCAACCCATGCAGCCCCTTTAAAAATACCTACTGTTCCAAGCCACCACAGCTCGGTCTTCTCACAGCACATATGGAGGTGGCAAATTATCTGGAAGTTACAGGGGAAAGGAAGGGATGGGATAAACCACACTGTGTTCAGGATTGCTTATACATTTATTTTTCAAAAAATGTCTCTATAAGAACTTGCAGCTTTATATAGGGTTCATTTCTCCCATACCTGTCTTCAGATAATGTGGTTTGAAGCAAACTGGAATCATACCCATCACTGAATGTATTTTGCTCTTTTACTGAATGAAAGATGCGAGGTTAAGTATTGTCCTCTCTTTTTGCCAACCATTGTTCAAAGCCGCAGAATCATCCTTCTATGTGAGAACCTGCAACAAAGGTTAAAAAATAGCTCAGCGCCTCTTCTGAGGATTCAGTAGGAATTATCAGGATATATTTGCGCCAAAACCTTTAGAAATAGCATGGTACAGCTGTTAAATGAATTATAAATTTTAAGAGAAGCAAGAGAAAAGTGGCTTTGCTATTGTTGTCTGGATAACAAGAGCAGTAGCAATAACTGAATGTGATGCAGAGTGTTGAGTTTCCTTCTGTGATATGGCTAGCCAACAGGGAGGCTAGTATGTTTCCCCTGTTTTCTGCCCTGGAACTACTGGTGAACTACTTATAAAAATAATAAAGATTTTTTTTCTTTTCCTGGCAGAAGTGCTAAACTTGTGACCCATTTGTGGTGACAATCATTAGCCAAATCAACACTGTTTTGTAGGCTCCCTGCCTGAGCTAACATGATGCAGAAGAAGTCTTGCATCATCTCTGTTCTCTGTCCCTCTAAGCCAGGGGAACTCCACATCCTTCAGCTGACCCTTGGTGGGGCATTAAGGAGGTGGGAGCAGGCTCCCAGTGTGCAAGGTGGAGCTTCTTGAAAGTTGCTCTGTGCCTTTCTCCATCGCCTGTTGCTTTGTACTGCAGAGCACGGTTGCTGGATGTCGGGCCATACACTGGAATATGAAAACAGAGTTACTAAGGCTGAGCCTGTCATACCAGATGGAAGCATTCTGAAAGTGAAATCTAGACTTGAACAATTTTGGTTGTAATTGGAGAAGACTAATAGATCCAACAAAACCTTAGTAACCTATTTGATTACTGAGTTTCAGTGGGGAAATAAACATAACTGCTCCCAAATGTCTTCTCTCCTCTGCTTGTAAATGTGATGAACTGTTTGCTTTTTAGTTGAATATACACCCCTGTACCTCTCAGTGCTTTCTTTGATATTTATTATAAGCTTTCTCTTTCTCTTTTACATTATCTCTCTCTCATCTTGATATTTTAGTAATCTTTAAAACACTTACAGGCTTTTATTGTGTCATTGCAGAGCCCTCACAGTAGAGATTTCAAAAATACTTAGTCCTTGTTAATCAATGTTTCTAGCCCCTTTGATGTTTGCCGGGTTTGCTGTTCTTCACGTCCTTCCCAGATTCTGCCATCTTGTCAGTAATGACATTCCTGGTATGCTCAAATGTCTGCAGCGTAAAACCCTTGCTGGAGAGCACGCAGTGCAGTATTACGCAGCTCTGGTGAGCATGGGAAGATGCTATTGCCTTTCCGTGTTGTGATGTGCTGCTTCTCAGCGTTCAGTTCAAATTTAACTGACTTACCCTGTTGCTGTAATTTGATGAGTAAAACTTGCTGTCCATTATCTCTGCTGTCATGTTTAGAATTGGTGCCTCATCTAGGTTTCTCACTCTATTAATAGAGTATTGTTTGGGATTTATTTAAAGACTTCTGACTCTTAAGAGACTTGCTGTGCCTGTGAGAGAAACAATTCCAAAATTCATTGGAAAAAAGAGCTTGCTTTGCAAGATAGAAATCTCTCATTTGATCTGGGGAGCGAATTAAGACTAAAAGTTAAATCCTGCAGGAGAACTAAATGCAAATAGTATTTGTGTAGGAATCAGATACAAAAGAAGAGATGACCCAAGAAATGCAGTGAAAACTGAGAGTAAGTGATAAAGTTAGTAAAGAGCTTGAAGCTTTTTAGTAAAGTAGAAAACAGAGTTCGGCACTAAAAGAAAAGATGTAGCGGAAAAGATATTCCTTGCGATTTTAAGCAATCTTAGTGATAGAGGAACCTCTGTGAATAAAGGACTGGGCGTAAATTGTGTCTTAGAACTTCAAAATCAATCTAGATGTTGTCTTGAGTTTTCCATGTTTTCTCTGCATAGCTTTTACCTTCTGTTTTTAGCTGTAGAGAAAGTGAAAGTAACTGGGAAGACATATTTGCAGGCAAGGAAATAGAAATATTGTCTTTACTGAAGGGCAAGGTGGGTTTTTTGGTTTTTTTTTTTTGTTGGTTGGTTTTTTAAACCATGGGATAGATTAGACAGCTATATTTCATTTTCTTTTAACTCAGGGGGAGGTAGTCCATTGCCATTAGCAAAGAGATGACTGTATGCAGGTTTAGTGCACTAGTTAAGTAACAAGTTAAAAATTCAACTGTAGTCATGTAAGCAATTGGGCTTTGGTTACTATAGTATAACAAGGAATCTCATCTCAGCTGACTATCCCTGGCTTTTGTTTTCTTTTTCTGAAGAATTCTAGGTAATCGAGTGGCAGAATTAGAAAAGAAATTAAGAACTTTGGAAATTGCTGGCTTGTGGAGTCTTCCAGGTTAGTAAAAATTCAAGAAAACAGCTTGTATTATTTAGTTTTCAAGGGTATATTTACATTTAAGAAAAGCTTGGCTATAATTTTTTTTAATGACGGTTATTTTGCAAATGTGCTGTTCAGCACATTTGCAAAATTAGAAACCTCTAATAAATGTTAAGTTGAAACTAAAAATCACTAGACTTTTTAACCTCTAAGTCAGATATGTATATTGGAAAAAAAAAAGTTTAAATACTGGAAATAATCAAATTGTCTCCATAGTCTGCAGGCAAAAAAAAAGGGAACTATTTTATTTAAACAGTTGTATAAAATGATACCCAGGATATTGGCCATTATGCTTTTCAACAAATTTTATTTATTAATTTTGTACTTCTTGTAACTTTCATGGATTTTATCACTGTATTTTAATGATTTTCTGTAGAATCATAAACTCTGAGAAATTGGAAATGTAAATGATCTTAAATTTTCTAGTCCATCTCTCCAGAACAGGCTTATTCCCTGTAGCATCTTAAGTATTGTATTTGGTTTTGAATTACGCAAGTAATGGGAGATTAATCTGCTTCCTAATAGACCTCGCTGTTAGGAAAATGTGCAATATTTAATTTACATTTACTTTTTACATTTACTTTTTGCTTCTTTTCTTCCCATTACACCTAATTGTGTCTCCTTTAACCACTGTAAATTATGCTACTCCATTGTTGGTGTTTGCATCATTAGGCTTTGTCATTTACGGCTTCCTATCAGTGCTGCTGGAGGTGGGAGATAGTGTGGTTTAGGTTTCTAGGTTTTGGCTCTGTGTTTTTTCCACCTAAACTTTCCATCTAGAAGAAAACATTTGCCAAAGCTGAAGAGACCTTGTGACAAACCTTTGCTGTTCAGCCGTTTGGTCTGATGTGGTGTATTTCCACTTCAGCTTGCCCATTGTAGGCATTCTCAATCACCTTTCTGGAACTGGCTCTCTTCTTGATGCTTTCCAGAACTGAATGTCTCAAATTTGTTTCCATGGATTACTCTTCAGTTAGTCATCTAGCATACACGGTGTACTTAGGGCATTTGTCACTCCCCACATTCTCCGAAAGATGCAAGTGGAATATTTGTCTAAGACCCTGCTAATGCGGTTCTGTACATTAGTACAAATGTTTATCATAAACTCACCAGTTTAAGGTACTGTAGGTTTTTTTTTTGCAAAATAGTGTTCCATGAAATTCATACACTAATAAATGCAGTGTTTCTAATCTTTGCAAATGTATTAAAAAAAAAATGGAACAGTGGGAACTCCTTGCACCATTGTTGGTCTATGTAGATAAGACATCAAATTAATATTTATACAATAACAACAATTAATATTTATACAATAACAACTGTCTCTTTCCTTCCTTTCTTTTGCTGCCTGAAGGCCTGAGCTACAATGTCTCAGTGGGATTTGGGAGTAGGTTCTGCTTAACGTATATTTTTAGTAACTGATTTTAGCAGTACGTTAAATATTGTCACTGCATGTAAATAAACGGAAATGTTATCTGAACATTTTTATATCCAGCAGATTAAGATTTTCAGTCAAGTGAGTTACGTGACCACAGGAGAAATAGAGGCTGCTCTACAAGGCAATTCCTTTAAATTGAGGAAAATAGTAAGAAGGATCATCTTAAATAGTTGAAAAGCAATTTTACACTGGATTGTGAGTTCTTTTGAGCCCCAAGGTTTGTTGATTTGCTGCTTGCTTTTTAAATCAAGAGTACACTTTTGTTTCCAAGTGCACTTGAGTCCCAAGGTGGTCAGAAAGAGCCTTGCAACACCTGGTGGGTCACCAATTTTCTTTTCAGAGCGTGGAAATCTTCTGCTCCATAAAACAGCAGCGGTTAACAAATAGCGTGGGAACTACCACAGTGGACTCTGCAGCAGAATGTTGGCTTGGGTGAGGGGCAGAACATGGAGAGTATCTCATCTAGTCAGTCTTATATCCAGAGAGAAAAAATTATTATTTGGTTGTGAGTTGAACTTTTTGTCATTGGAAGAAATACATAGATGAAAGCTGATGTTCAGTCTAGCACTGAAAGAAACGCACATTATAAATTGCAGGTTTTTAATCTGGAGTTAATGTTCCTACTTAGCCATCATTGTCCATATAAGATTTATAACATCCGCTGTCACCATGATATTAATATCTTCCAAATGGTGTTAATAAATGATGTTAATAAACTTTATCCTATTGAAGAAAGAGCTTGACCCCTTCTGAGTTTTTGTTAGGTGACATATTTGTCATCTGCTTTTTGAGCAATGCATGAATCAACTGTGGGAAGGTAAATCAAGAGGAAGTGCATGTTTAATTTTTGCAATGGTGAAACTGGTAGCGTAGTTCATTTTCTGTAGACATTCTGCCTACCACAAACTTTAGCTTCCCCCGTTTGGAAAATGGGCTTTAATTAAACGAATCTTGTGAGGTCTATTGCTGAAGAGAAAGCAAGCTTGGGCATAGATTTGGCTCTGATTTTCTTTTTATGAGCCTACTTGCCTTGAGAAGGAAGCAGAGAATTTGATGGTCATAGAAGCATTTAATTCCTTGCTTTGTCTTAGGTACATTGTGGTTCAAATATGCACGCATAATATGTTAATTGTATTCAGTAATAGTACATAGTAAACACCACCTTATTCCTCTCACAATTCAATGTCACTAGGCATTCAGATAAGTAATTCTGTATTTTTTAAAGTCTATCATTTCCTGAAAATTCCAAATTTCTACTGTAAAAAGTCTAAGAAAAGAGCCAACCATGACTCAGCCTTTTCCTGTCTGGGATGATAAAGTTTCGGTGCTGCCTCTTGCTCTGCAGTAATCAGCATGGAGCAGAGGCAAGGTAGATTTAATGGGCTCAGCAGCTGCTGTGGGTATAGGCAGTTACAGCAGGGTAGGGTGCATCAGGGGTTATTAGAGGGTACCCAACCCTGGAGAAGAAAATGAAGAATTTACTACTACTGAAAACTTGTTTGCTTATTTTGAGATCTGTATACTTTTCACTAAAGTCCTTGAAAAATGCATTAAATAGAGGAACACAAAGCTATGTAAGTTAGGAAATTGAGCTTACACAGCAGCTAATTGAAATTCCCTGTGTGTAATCCAACTTCAGATCATGATTCATGGAATATAGTGCAGCAATACCCCCATGTCCCTCCTTCATGAATGGATGTGATTCACTGTTAATAAATAAATACGCATCAGACTCTTTGGGCCACATCTGTTGCTCAGATGTGTGGATACTGAGCTTAGCTTTATTTTCTGTAACCAAGCTGGTTTTCAGAGAAAAATGTGAAAGTAAATGTGTTTACTGTGTAAATGCTGTCTGGAAGTTAAGAATTTTCTTTTTTGAAGCTTGTCTTGCAATCTTCAGGGACTTTAGCTCAGGCTTTACTTTTTTTTTAATTAAAAAAAAAAAGAAAAAGATGCTACTGTCTACTTTCCTGTTAAAGCTCCCCCCCTTTTTTTTAATTCATCGTCTTTTTGCATTTTACTTCCTCTATGGATTCTTTTGTATCTTTTTGGATATGTGGCTACTTTTGACTGTGTATGAATATCTATTGGATGTTTTCATACCACTGGTTACCTGTATGATTTAGTTCTTCCAGCACAAAATTCCTTCACTGTTACAGGAAAGTGCATTCGTCTGGAGGCTTTTGCATTTTGAAATAGCCATCAGATTTGTTTTGCCCTTTTTTTTTTCCTCCATTTTAATTAATTTTGCCTTGCACTGGGGGGGTTCTCCACTTTGCTGTTAGTTATTATTTTTTATTACTTGCTATGGTGAAGGCAGAATTCTGATGCATAGAGGAGGATCAAAGCTTGACAAGATCCATGTTCCAAAAGCATTAATTGCATTCATATTGCTGCAGCATATACCCCAACATGTTAAGCATATGAAAACGTCATTAATACCTTCAGGATCAAGGTATTTACAGCCAGTGCTTTCAAAAGTAGTTAGGGATTGGGGTAGTCCAGTTAGACTCCACAGGAACAGTGTGACTTTCATTATTTCTTAGTAGGTACCAGAACTTTCTCAGAGCTGGATTTATTCTGGATATCTCCTGGCCTGGTGCTCTTTTGAAAGTCTTTGTCTTGGATGGGTGATTAGATTTAGGATGTTGCCTTAAGGTGAAACGTACAAACAGATTTAGAGGGGAGAAGTAGTTGTTACATAAATGTCCATTCTTATGGAGATAAATAGAGCAGTAGCTTGCTGCCTCCCCAGCCATTACTTATCGGTTGGCAGTTGTTCTGGAGGCCACACAAACACCACGCTTAGCTGATCTTGCACATTTCCTGCCGTTTCCCCTCTAGGTTTAAGGTAGTGTCAGTCACTAAAAACATGAGCATCCTGAATAGTGGAGGACTTCCTAAAGGGTCTGCAGGTGTTGCTTTCTGTATTGCTAAAATGTGTAAAGACTAGGCATCTACAGCAGAGTCCTCAGCTGAAGAGTTTCTTGCACTATTTTGTCTGCAAAAGAGCTGGAAAATTGCCCTTTTCTATTTGGTTTAAAACGAAAATGCTCAGACATGTTTTTGGAATTTTCAGATTAAAATCCCTGCTGTTCCCCAGCAATGTATACTTGTTTGCTCCCTCAGTTCTTGGTTATGCTAAGCTTTTAATATTTTTCGGTAAGGCAGCATCGTATGATAGTACGTGTGTGAGTCCGTAGTGTAAAACTACATGTGTGATATGAGCAGGTTCATCATTGAGGCAGAGTAATAGAGAGTAAGGAGTCGGAGCTGAACACTTGCTGGTAATAGCATGCAAATGATCCATTACTCTTTGTAAAACTTCTGGTATGATCTGATTATTAATATTCTGAATTGAATACTAATTGCTAATACAATTTGCTGCATACAGCACCTGGCCTTCTTTCAAAAGCTGTCCTTTACTCAGTACTGTGGATAAAAACATAGGCCTTTTCTGTATTTGACTTGCATATTCCAGCTCCAGTACAGAGTATTTTTTTTCCATGCTGTAGAAGGATCATTTGAGATGCTTTTCCTATTCTGTACTTTTCAATAACATTGCAAAAAAATTGCAGGATATGTTTGAATATTATTAGTGCACGATGGATGTAATTGATGAATTAATGGTTGTAACACTTTGATTGTTTCAGGTGGAAAGGATACCATAACATTCAGTGACCCAACCTTGCCTGTTATACAGCGGTCCAGGTCACCCTTGTTAGCGTTTACTGATAAGCCACAGAAAACTGAAGTGCAAGGTGAGCACCTGGAACGTAAGGAACATGATGAGAGCTGAACACTCATTTCTTTCCAAATAAAAAGTAATAAATTTTCATGCTGGGATAGCAGAAGGCAAAGTTTCAGTGGTCACAGAGATTGACTATAACATCCACAAGTAAAATGGATAGATGGTCCCAGTACAAATAGCATAGAAATGACTGAAAAATGACTGTTGAATAGATTGCACAGGGCTAGGGATCAGGTCTTACACCTCAAAGAATTTTCCTGCCAGATAACTTGATACTGTGAGAAGTTATTCATGCCATCTATGTTACAGTTAACTGCCTCCTACTCTTTTTCCCTCAGTTAAAATGCACAGTAGGAAGGCAGTCTGTGGAACTGGCTTAGCACTTTCCTGCATTATAGCTGATATCTAGATGAATGGCTTCCTGATTGCGCCCGGTAAATTGAAATACCCGACTCGTTTTCCTAGAGAAATTGACTGCTTTTTTTATAGTCTGGCATGTGTTTTGTTAAAAATCCTCCCCCAATAGCAAGCTTTAACATCTCTCCAAAGTCAAGCTTAACTTTATTTGACAGTAGCAGAAGATAGTGTTTTGCTGATAACCTTGATTTTTTTTTTTTTTTCCTTAGTTTTTCATAATGGATGGGAGATGGATTATTATGCTTGCCTATTGGCATTTGGATAAGCTCTTTAATGGTCATAACCTTTTGGTATGCCCAGATCTTACTCAGCTAACCATGAAGCATCATAAACAATTTATTTGTTAGTCCCGAAACCAAATAGATTGTGGTTTAATTTTGACTTTATTATCCATGTCATCATCTGATAAAACTTGACAGTCAGACTGATCGTTTTTTATAATCTTGACCAGCTGATATTTTTACTAAAAATAATAAGTGAAACTATAGTGAATAGTTCTCTGGTGAGTAATAATAACTCAAAAATATTCATTTTTTGCCTGCTTAATCATTGATTTTTAATTAAATCTGCACTTACTGAAAGTATTTACTTGGTGGCATTATGCTCTTTCCTTTACTTATTTGTCCTAGGTGAGGTTGGTATTACAGTTTTGATTAAAGCTGCCTGTCAAATCTCATCAGACCCTGTTTCTGTTGCTTTGTTACGCTGCCTAACTTTAGCTCTGGGCTGAAGCTTTCCATGCTGTGTTTTCTACTTCAGCTGATTTTTTTTCATGTCAGCCAAGTCACTTTTTTGTGTTAAATTCTGATGACCACATGTTTTTGGGTGTGTTTTTTTCTTTGTCTGTTTCTTTTTTTTCTTTTTGTTTTTTAAACATGCAAGCATTTAGTATGTCTATAATTGAAATGAATTTGAAATCTGGGGGAAAGGTTTCCACCCTGAGAAAACAGGCTGGAGTTTCTGTCCCATTCTAAACCATTCACTTCCAAATCCCTTATGCTAAAAACAACAAAAAGCAAACCAATGATTCTTTTGAGCTTGCTTCATGCCACCAGTGCTGGTAAAACTGCATGCACCATTCCTTCAGGATAATGTAAACCTGGAGGGAACAAAACCTGGAGCAGAGAGGAAAGGAAGGCTAAGATAGGACTGTCAAGTGATGGGAAGAGTAGAGTGGATGGGGATTGACAGAGTTGAAAGAAGTCTGAGTGGGGAGGGGGTACCTGCATCTGGCTGAGTGGAGGTCAGAGCATGGGAGCAAGGAATCAAAGTGCTGACAGTGAAAGCAAGGTGTGATAAAAAAGATTGAAAGGTGGATGAGAAAAGGGCAGAGTGAGTGTAGGGACTGGATAAACAAAGGGATGTAAGGCAGGAGCAGAGAGCTAGGCAGGGGAAGAGAAGAGTAGAAGAAAACAGCCTTGGAGAGGAGAAGGCAGACAAGGATTAGGCCTGTGACAGTCATGGGAAGAATCAGCTCCCAGTAGGTTGTCACTCTCTTTCCTAACAGAGCCAGGATCAGTCACAGAAATCCTGTCATTAAATTGGAGTAGGTTAAGAAATTACTGTTCTGGCTGCACAAACAGCTTGGTTTTTCCCTTTGCATGTGGCCCAGTATACCTGATAACCTGCAGTGGGAACTCAGACAAAACTCACCTCTGTGATAGTTTAAATAAACTGGGCCAACTTTTCAGTAACATAGATGAACACACATATAATACCAGCTGTGTGGGGGACACCAAAGCATCTAGCAGTAAGTGGAGCAATAACTTCTTCTCTTGCTTTAGATCCTTTTTCTGAAGGCTCTTTGGGGCTGCCACCTTCTCCTTCGAAGCCTGGAAAGGAAGCAGTGCATTTTCAGCTGTAGGGCACATCCCTGTGCTTGGACTCACACAGCTCTTCTGCAGTCAACAGCTATATGGGAGTGATACACTGAGTCACCTTTTGTGCCACTCTGCACAGAGAATGACTGTCTGCTGTTGAGTTTTAGGAGCTTGGTGCATATTGCAATTTTTCATCTATACAGTGTACCTACAAAATCTGGGGAGCTTGGCAGCCGGGAAGAACATAGGAATGTGTTCATCTGCCTTCGTTTATCAAGGAAGTTTGCCTGTGGTTTAAAAGTGTTCCTGAAATAAAGACAAAACCACTTTTATTTTCCTATTAGCTGAATGATCAGTTGAGTGAAAACAGTTGATAAGCAGAATAGCAATGAAATTCCTACATATCTCTAAATACTGGGCCTGATGGCATGTTGGTCAGCTGTGGTCCTGTAAATAGTACCATTGATACTTGGTTCCTGTTTGGCCCAGGAAATGTTTTTAGCTTTTGCACTAACATACATTCTTTATCAGAACTTTCTGTAATACATCACATGTTGCTCTAGCTAGATCTACAGATAATCAGAGGGCTTTTTCAGGCTTTTTTTATCTAATCTGTCTGCTTACTGTGGTCTCATCAAGGCCTTCATTGTTGAATGCATTGTTCCTGCTGTATTGCCTGTGCGCTATTTCAAGCATTGCCTGAAGACAAAAGTACTGTTTTTCTATGAACTTTTCTCTGGTGATACAGTGCTTTGAAACAATTTATCTTCAGAAAATTGCAGCAAAGTGATGGGATGATGTTACCCACTGTAGAGGGAGGAAACTGAGGCACACAAAGAATAAGGTAGAGGCCCTGCTAATTTTGAGTGCCAATTTGAGGTACATAAGTTTTGGCTCTTTTTGAGTATGTGTGTTCAGATACAAAACATGACCAGAGCAGTACTGCAAATCAAGCTCCTAGGTTTCCATCTGAGTGCTCAGATAATGAGGATTAGATCCAATGGGTGATCACCTTTTGAAAGTTAATTTATCCCTGCCTTTTCCACAGACTTAAATTCCAGCTCTTCAGAGTAGCATTCCTAGCTTCCTTAATGGCAGTAAGAGTCCCTTCATGCCAACCCTTGTCTCACTCAGCAGTTCCCAAATTATAAATGAGGCGAGTCCGATAGAGACAGTAGGCTCCTATGTTGTGTAGCTCTGGTCCCTCCCTGCAGCCAGGCTGTCCCGTACACTGCAAGGCAGGATTCCTGCAGGAGAAATAGAGTAAATGCTCATATACTAAAAGGTAATGCATCTGTGTGACAAGAGTCATTTTAAGATGTCAATGCAGCCATACTTCTGGCATTTCCTAATTTTTCTTACTTGACTTCACAAGCTTATTTTCAATGAGGGTTTTTCTCCTTAACTGAGGACAAATTCTCTCCCTTTCACAAAGCTGTTTACACATCGCTGTTTTCTCTGTTATGACACTTTGTTCAGTGTTTGCCTTTTGGTATAATGGTATATTTAAAATTCTTCCACTGACGGTTTGTTTTATGCTGCTACCCAAATTAGAATAATCTTTTATGTTAGGAGAAATGTTGCAGGGCCAATAATGAAAGTTCGTTATTGGATGAAAGCCTGTGAAAAGCTCCAAATAAATGGAGCTTGTGTTAACCCCTGAAAGTGGTAGTGATGCGGGGATTAATGTTAAGCTGTGCCAAAAATTTCTGTAGCTGAGTGCCTTGCTTAGAGTTGATATTCCTTTGAAAAAGTTTGCCTGACCCTGCTGTTCTGCAGTATGGTATCGACTATGACTCTTTTAGACTTGTGGAAAGACAGGCTCCAAAACAGGGCCAGATCCAGCAAGAAACTTAATCTTGATTGCTTATCATCTAAGAAATGGGCCTGGGATGGGATAGGGAATCACTTTTAGAAATTCCTTACTGAGGTAAACATCTCTGTGGTCTGGCACTGGTGGTGATGGTCTTCAGGTCAGATACATAATAAATGCCTGCGACTGACTGGAGCACCTTGCTGTTCCATTTCTCTTTCAGCAGAACAGAAGGGAGAACATGATGAAACTTGTGCTCTTGCAAGTGAGTCCCTGGCTCCAGAGGGAACAAACTTAAATAACAGAAACCAAAATAAACATTTTTATCCTTCATTACCCCAGCTATCTTCCGAGGAAGAAGAAGTAAACAAGCTCGGAAGTCAGATAATTAAACTGACAGAGCAGGCAGTTGCAGAGCTGAAAGGAAGAAGATCAGGCGCTTCCGCAGGGGAGTCGAACACGGTGGCTGGAGCAGAGCTTAATGGTTTGTCTGAGGGAGAGTTCGCACTTTCCAGCCCTGACCCATCTGACCCCACGGATCCCTCAAACTCGGAGAATGAACAAACAGCTGAAGCTAAGGCTCTGAAAGACAATGACGAAACCTCAGAGAGCGATTATGAAATTCCAAATGAAAGAGGGGATCAAAATAGCAGCACTGTGGATGTGGTGCATGCTGAGGACCCTGGTAGGCATGGAGGGCTCAGTGTTACAACTGCACACACAAATGTCAGCTTTGAGGAGCTCCCTGAATCTGAAAACAAGAAACCATCTGATCCTGCTGCAATTTTTTTTTAAAACTGTGAATATTTGGATAACAGTTTGGCTTGAGGTATGAAATCCAGGCCCTCGACCTTCTCACTGTAATCCTTTTGCAGTGTCTATGCTGTAGGGTTGATTTTTACATTAAACTGTTAATATTTGTCTAATAAAGCTGTTTTTCTGTTATTTTTGGCTACAGTGTACCAAAAATGGAGATTTCCTAAGGGAAAGAATTAGTCATGAGGTTTAATCATGCTGGTTTTTTGTAATGATTTGAAGTTTCTACATAGATTGATGTAATTTACATTAGTGTAGCAAAGAGACCAATGATAATGATTTATCCTGTTATCACTAGGCTTTTGTAACGTGTATGTTCCTACTGCTGGACTGTGTTTTAATGGTTAGAAGTGTCTTCCAAAGATGAAAAATTTGGAGTGATAAATTGAGACTCATTTAAGGCTGCAAGTTTCTGCTTGTTTCTCAGACTGCGTTCTATTTCTCTTTACATATAGTGACAGTAAGCCCATCCTCAGAATAAAATCACTGTTCTCATATAGGAAGTTTCTGAAAACCATCTCTTCGCGTATATGGTTCTCTCATTACAAACCTTTTTATCTTCTCAACTGTATAAAATTTTTCCTTCCCTCTCCCAGCTCATCCTATGAAAATGCAGGGAGTTACTTCATCAGATACTGAGAACCCAGTTTAATGAAGCTCTGAAGGAGACATTACCAGAGAAGCCAGAAGTCTTTCTGTGAGAAACAGCAATGCTGTTCCAAAGCAAGGAGAACAGCAAGAGGAGAACCAGTGATGCCCTGTCCACTTACTTGGCTCTCTCAGTTATGGGAATTGCATTCCTCAACTTAGAGGAGCTAGAACAGACCGTGGGCCGAGTATCAGGTGGTAGATTTCAGTTTACTCCATCTGGGCCCTCCTTTTTAAAGGAATCTGTGTCGTCTTTTATTTTCTTATGTTTTGGAATTAAGGATAACTCTTCCGTTCCTCCTTATTTCACCAGTCTATGGTGTGGTATGAAGGTTTATTTGCGTTGTTGCCGCTTTCTTAAACAACTTCTTTTGTTGATGTTTAGTCATAGGAGAACATTCATATAGTAACTGGGGAAAAGTCAGGCTGCTGTGTCATTCCTTAGCTTTCTCCTAATGCTGAAGCTGTGCCACTCTGTTCCTAGGAAGGCAGCAACAAAGGAATACTTAACGTTGAAGTTAGCAGCTGTTGGAGAAGGGCAGGCATGTCCTTCCTCTCCTGTTTGTAGCATAAGGAATAGTCTCTGCAGCTGTGGAGCTTCTATGGGCCAGCAGCCATCAAGGCAATTTTTCTGCTGGCTTGGGACCTAATTGTCTGTAAATGTTCATTTCTCACTCCTAGAACTTGAAACCAATCAGAGAGAATTAAACCAAATTTAATAAAATACTACTAATAAAAAGGAAAATCCCTCCCAGATTGAGTACTTCTTTGACAAATAACTGCCAGCTGCAAATTTTTACAGCCCACTTGTCAGCTACTGAATAAACAGAGTTTCTATTAGCAATACTGACAAACTCTTCTGTATATGGAAGATGAGCTAGCAGGTGCTGCCATAATCAAGGTGTCAGAGTCCATGAACAGTTTGTATTCAGCAGAAGAAGGGCTGTATGTAAATTATTACATATAAATATAAGGAATGATAGTGGGAAGGTGAAAAATGTAGCCTGTCTCTATTCTCATGTGTTTTCCCTAGCAGGTGCATTCATGTAACCCTTTCAGTGTCTGCCTGCAGGCAATAAAGCCGTAATCACAGTGCTCCTCAAATATGTTTGCTTTCTCTTTGAAGGTAGTTTGACATTGCAGCATTTCACTGACACTGAGCAGCAGCTCTTTGGAACAAAAAACATCTGTATATTTAAGCGTATTAGGGACATGAAGCAGTAAAAAGTTTTTCTTCTGTTATGCTGCTCACCATTTAAGTTCCTCATCACCTGAAAAACCAAGAAGAGTTTAAGTATTTGAAAGGTTGTTATGCTGTTCCCATTAATTGTGACTGACTGCATTATTGACTCATTTATATGGCAGTACTGACAAGTTGGAAAAGAAATAGCTGCAGAAACTGAAATCTCTGGGAGAATGTGGCAGGATTTTTTCCTGTAATGCTTGAATGTCACATGAAGTAGCATTTTATTCAAGATGTATTCTTTTCCATCTTTCACAGACTAATCCTGCACAGAGCTAAATATCAGTGCAGTCAGAGCTGTAAGGCAAGTGAATAAGAAGGTCAAGATTTCACACAGCTGAGCTCAGAAATGTTGAGGGTGTTATATTGTTTCCCTGGCCTGTGTCTTTCCTGACCCGTTGTTGTGTGAATTAGCATTTTGCTGTTGGTCCCTTAACAGCCAGTTAATGCTATTAACTAATGAAGAGCTTGGAGGAAAAACTGAAGCAGGTAGAAGCAGTGCTGGCCCAACAGCTTTTTAGTGCCTCATTCGTTGATTCCTTCTAGTATGTTTTTTCTGTCAGAACATAGTGATGTACAACCAAACAATTGGGACATCTTGGTAATTATCCGCACACCATTATCCCTCTTAGATGCCATTTTTCTATCTTTGCAATCATTAAATTCCAGTGAGATATCTAGATCTCTGGAAACCTTGTTTTTAGTGCTGTATCACTACTGCAATACTGTCCCTCTCCTTTCTGCCCTAGTGAATGTGTATTCTAGCTACATTTTTAGCCTCCTCCCAGGAACACAAGACTTCAAAGGCAGGAGACTTGTAAAAGTAAGACATCTTTGCTGCACTATGAGATAACTAATTGAATATTCTTGTCAGTATCTTCCTTTTATATGGTTTTAATTGATACTGTTGTGCTATTAGAATGATGATTTTTTTTCCCAGTAAATTAATTGGTGTTTAGTTGTGGAATCAACACTACTTGAGGTTTTTAGGGGTGGGCAGTGGTTTTGTTTGGGTTTGTTTAGGTTTCTTTCTTTCTTTCTTTTTAGATTTGTGTTCCCTTTTTCTAGGACTTTAGAAATGCAGAAATCGCATCCAGACATACAAGCCTTTTTGGTGTTGGGCTTTGGGGAAGCAAACTGTGAAGGGAATGTTGTGGCAGGGGTATGGAGAAGATGCATTTTACAAACTGAATTTAAGGAGGTTGTCTTGCCTAAAAGTGAATTCATTCATTATCTATGAGAAGGATTTCATTTGGAAGTACGATGTTGTGGTTATTTCAAAAACAGTGTTCACTGAATTTGTAAAATATGTGTGTGAAAATAACAGATTAAGAAGCATCTTTTAGAATGCTGCTTCTTTTCTAAGTGAGACTATTTTTAAGCATATGGGAATTTGTATAATAAAGATAGTGGAATTTCTTTAATCCATATGAGCTCAGTAATGTATTTCAAAATCTTAACTGAGATTAGGTTGAAAGTCTGCTACATTTCCAAAAGATAGGATTTTGTTTACCAGCTTCTGTTTTGTAGCTTTACTTTCTAAAGTATGCAGCTTAATTTATTTGCAGACCTCTCTTTTGTTGCCGCCTGGATTAACTGCACAACATGGTTAAACTATATTAATACGTTTTGTCATCTTTAATAAAAACATTTCCTGATACACTTGTTCTACCTGCTTGCTTCCTTTTCTCTTCTCAGTATCAGATGAATGATAGTCATGAGGTAGTGTTTTAGTATTCTCAGTAAGTTGTGTTAAATTAAAAAAGTAAAGCTTTATTGAGTGAGAGTTCTAAGTCTGAAAATTATCTGACTTAAATCTTTTCACTGTCACTTCTCTCACTCTAAATTGACAGATTTACTTCCTAGATTCTTGTATGATGAAACACACTCGGTATTTTTTGGCTTTGAAAATAGTATTTATCTCTGATCTGCTAACGTTATCATCATTGTCTAAGCAGCATTAAAACTTTTGTATACAACTTAGTTACTCACAGGCACAAACTAGAGACTTTAGGGAATTTTTGCTGGGGAGTGATGGTAAATTGGAGTATTTCTTTTAAGTCTGCTTTCAGATGTAAACAGTGTGACTTAGCTATAGCCATGTGGACAATTTAAAATAATCAAGAAGCTTATACATGTTTGAGAATAAAACCTGAAAATACAAGTAGAATAACATAATGGATCTAAAGTTTAAAACAGAAATGTCTGGACTTTCCCTTATTTTTAGGGGAAGTCCATTATCCAGGTCTTGCAACACAACATCTAACACTGTTGAAAGCATAGAGATCTTTTTGCTTTTCAGATTTGCAGCTAAATACAGGATAGCGTCTAATGAAAGGCAATTTCTTACTTATTCATACTAACCTTTTTTCCCTTGTATCTAACTTAGGATCCCTTAAGAGCCCCTTACAGCACACAAACTCTTTAACAGACCGTCAACCATATCCGTTAGCACTCTTACTTACATGCATTCAACTCCCAAACTGCATAAAGGGGAATCTTTTCAAGAAGATACATCACAATGGTGAGTTGATGCTGGTTTTATTGATGGGCTTACAGAAAGGAGGCTATACAAAGTGATACGCATTTCTTAGAGGAGCAAGCAAATGGAAATGGGAATCCTTTAGCCATATAGCTTAGTGCCGACAGCACAGCCTAAGGTACTTTGTGCTGCCCAGGCTGTAGCCAGCTTGTTGGTCTTCACGTAAGCCTGGTTCTATGTTCGTTTGTTGAGCCCTCTCTTCTTCTTGTCAGTAACCTCAGACAGTTTCTCTTCCCACAAGTTCTTGTTGCATATCCCAATCACGCAGCAAGCCAGACGTTTCCCAGCATTTCCATTTTCCAAACTGGCCTTATTGTTGCCCTTGCCCATGTCATCTTCCTGCTCATGGATCACAACGGATCTGCCCATGATGGAATATGGACCAAACATCGTGGCAGGGAGATTTGTTTTGTATTTTCTGATTTTGCCTTCTTTAGGAAAAAAGTTGCCAAAATCCCCTGGGTGACGGGGGTGATTCACGCTGAAAGGGTTATAGTGTCCTCCTGTAGAATCACAGCCGTTGCTGAGATCCCCAAGCTCATGGAT